AGAATATTCTCTGCTTTATATTGGAAACGAATTTTTAGAGTTGGTCTAAACACAAATCTGGTGGTGTTTTAGTGTCTACACATAATTAGTCATGAGAAGACAATGTCAACTGTAGTTCTTCCATTCTTGTAAATGCAGAGGAGCTCTACTCAATAACTGAATGATAATGTTGTGTAACAAATGGGGAAATATTTCCCTCTATTTGGCAGATGTCTCATAGCTGCTCTTACACTCTGAGTGTGTTTGATTTATTTCAGACAGATATAAGAGCCATCTCTTCTAGCTATTTCAAAACACAGACCAAAAACATTTATATGATTAAGCACTTCTTTAATTCAGTAAACACCATGAAATCAGCAAGGAAATGACATTTAAATGGCATTTATCACTCAGTTTGTCTCACCATTGGGGATTACTTCTCTGTAAAATCTGAATTTGGAAAGAGACCTTTTGCAAAACATGAAATTGGAGCTTCTTTGCATAGTCTCCAAAAATACTGCACAGAAAACCTACCTTTGGGGTGGATAGAGAGAAGTGACTCTTCATGTTGTCTCTGTTTATGTAGTATCGTCCTCCAAGATGTACAGTATTCACTTTAGATAGGAAAACTGAGCTATTTTTTTTCTTACTAGGTAAATTGATGTTAAAAAACCCAGCTGGAACATATCTTAGAGAAGCTGCTGGTTGGAAGCATTTGAGATGTTGGCAGTGAGATAAAGCTTCCCTGTTTCTGCCTGCTGTGAATAACTGGGATAGACACAGTCTGGTTCAAGCCCATCCAGTGAATCTGGGACCATCACGGGCCAAAAGGCAGCCACAGGGCTGTTAATTGAATTGGAAAGAGTAAGAGATGCCATCAGGGTCATGGGGACTGCAAGAGCACATAAAACACCTTGTAGGATCCCATCTCCCTGATAATCATGGATGGAAGGTGATGGAAAGAAATGTGAGGGCTCTTGGAGAAAAGCCCGGGGGATTATTGTGAGCACATAAAAATCCAAACAGCTTGGGATGTATCTACCTGACGGAAAGGGGACAAGGGGAGGGTTATTATTCCAACAGAAGTGTCCAAAAATGCTTAATTCAAGTAACAATTGCGTATTTTTATCTTCAGCCAACTGGTTTGGATTTTTTTAGAAACCGATGTTAATTTAAGTCTGTATCTGTTTATTTTTATATTTGTTGTACAAAAGAGAAATTGTGACTTTACCACACAAATATTATTCGAGGTCCTGGGTGCTACTCATTTAAACATACCTCCACCAGAATTAGGTGTGATCAGGTCCTCCGAGGAGGTCACGATGTATCGATGACTTGCAATCACGTGTGCTAGCTGTTCATAAACAGGTGGGACAGTTTGTAGCCAGATATTTACTGATTTTATTTCTGATACCAAAACATGCCTCAGCCTAATACATTTCAGTGCAGCTTAAAGATGCATCAGGTCTTTATCTCGCCAGATTCCTCCTTAGCCCCCAGCTCAGCAGACCTGTGAGCACGTGCCAGCTCGAAGCACCCAGGTTGGGTCTTGAAGCGAAGCTGAGGCTGCCCGGTTGTACTTTGCCGACACATTGATTTTTTTTTTTTTTTTTTTTGAAGGCAAGACATTGTTGCAGAACATCTGGCTCAGCCAAATCTCCAGAAAACCAGGGCAAAAGCTGAAGCCATGGCTGGTGAGCTGGGGGGGTGGTGGTCTGTTGGCTCCTTTAATTTCTCCATTTTTAAGACACTCAGCCAACAGCCGATTGAGGAGGCCCCAGTTGGTCAGTTGTGCAGTCTAAATATTTAGGGCCAGTTCATAGAGTTGCTTCTTTTTTTTTTTTTTCTATGAAAAATGATGTATTTTACTTCCTATGTATAAAAGTTACTTGTAAATTTTGGTGTGCCTTTGCATGTTTTCCAAGGGGCCGTGTGGTTGTTTATAAACTAGATTTTTTTTTTTTTTCTAAATACAGAATTGTAAAATATCTTTTTTCTCCCCCTTCCATTTTATTTTGATTTCTGAATTATTTGTGAAATAAAACCTTCCCAGAATGAATGCTTCCCTTGTCTTTAATGCTCAGCCAGAGCTGGGTTTGTGTTTAGAAGAGCTATTTGGGATTACTCCTGGGGACTAGAGTATCCCTTGGAGACCCCAAATGAGATTGGGTTGTGCAGAGTCTGTTCCACAAACAAATAAATTAAACTACCCAATGCCCAAGCATTAAAAGTCAGCCTTTACCCCACCAAAAATAAGATGTATCCTTTAGTGAACCATCCTGAGAGCAAGGGAAAATCACTGTCTTTAAATCCCCAAAACATAAGGGCTGAAGTAGATTAGAAAATCTACTAGTTGGAAAACGCATTTAATGAATTAATGATGTAAAATACAACTGAGGTGAAGTCATCCCCACCTGAGCAGTCTGTTCTTAAATATACCCTTTCTTTTTTTATTGAAAGGAAAAGTGGACAGATTTTTTAATTCCCCTTGAAGTTTTCTCCCAGCTCCTACTCACTGATAGCACCACCAGTCCAACCAAGTGGTTTCCCGGTAATTCAGCACCATCTTGGTGAAAGGAGCAGCACCACAAGGAGGTTCATAACTCAGCCTCCAGGCAACGAGCCCCACGTGGCTTTGGACCAAAACTGTGGGCTGAGCCATGGGAGGGGGTCCTGCCTGACAAGAAGGCCATGGAATTTTCTGTTTTCCATTACATGTACCACAAGGTCAGGAGGTGTTTGCATCACTCCAAGGCTGGTCTGATGCAGTTATGGCTGAATAGTGTTAATTGTGAAATCCAACCAAGGACTGACAAGATAACACCATTATTGCACTGCCGGTGATTCCTGCAGGAGGAAAATGTCATGGCTGGTGCAGTCCCTGCGGTTCCAAACTGTGCATTTGAACTTGCTAATGCCCAGTTTGTGCTTGCTCTCACCCCCTCTCCCTTCTGCATCTCCTTTGCTGAAAATGTTCAGAAAGACTTTCATGAGCAGAACTTAAAAGTAAGTAGATAAGAGAATTCAACCTAACGGTCATTGTGAGGTTTCTTAGACCTACTAATTGCAACAGTTGTTTGATTTCTTATTTGTTGGGTGCTACAAAACAACACAACCTGGAGGGTTGGAACTAGTTGATTTTAAGGTCTCTTCCAACCAAAACCATCCTATGATTCCATGAATGCTCTGGCAAAAATTAGGTCTTTTGGTTGGCTTAGAGATCAAAGCAGCATAACGCCCAAAATTTAAGGGTCAGCTTCAAATCCTCTGACACTGTCTCTAGTTTTGCTAATGGTTGTCTCCTCCTGCTCCAGCCACCTGCTTTGTCCTGTGTTCATCCACCAGAAAATGGTGTTGTCCTGAGTGCTGTGTGAGAGCAGTGTGGCAACCAACGCTGGCTGTTCTTTCTGTGCAGCAGGGATGAAGCCCAGGTAAGTGAAGGCTGAGGGCAAAACACAAAGAAGCAGGAGAAAAATGGATTTGTTTTCCCTTCTGGGAGTGGGATTCAGATTCATGCTTTAGTGGAGAGGGCATAAAAACTAGAAGTTTGAATGAAAGTAGAGGGGAAGGGAAAGAGATGATTACATGGACTTCAGTGAAGGTGACCTGTTTTCCTGCATTGATAATCCTCTGGGATCAACAAGAAGCTGGGCTCTCCCAGCTTGCTGTTTTAGGGAGAAATGTCTTGTTGCTGGTTGTTTTGCCTGCTCCTCACCCCGTGCTGAGCTCATCAGAGGCTATGAATAGTATGGGCATACCTTGGGGTGGGTGTCCTTCCAAAAACCCACAGTCATTTATAGGATGCACCAGGGCGATGTTTTCAAAGCCATTTTGCAAACGACAGGGTTGGCTCTCATTTATACTAAGGACCTACTTTAGGGCACTTAGGAGACATTTATGCCACTTTAGGGTGTGGAGAGAGCAGTGTAAAGAAGCCTCAGTGTAAATAGAAACCACCCTTATATCTTGTTGACAGTGGTTAAAATAGGGTTACTGAGTTAAGTCAACAGACAAGGTTTGCCTTGTGCTCCCTCTGCTCCTCACCCTCCATGCCATGTGAGCAGGACAGGGTTATCCACAGTGTCCCTCATCAGGCACTGCACAGCCCGGCACCTCGCAGGGATATTGAGTGTCAAATCAAATACAAAGATATTTTTAGCTGGTGAAGAGTCAGGAGGCTCAGGTGGAATGTGAGGACTGAGAGCAGAAGGGAGCAGAGGCTTTCAAAATAAATTCAGAGCTTTATTAGGTCTTACAAGTGCTGCTTCCCTCAGGTTTGGGTCTCCTCTAGAGTCAGTGGGTGACTGTGACCAGGAGAGGACCTGCCAGCACAGACACTGTCCTGAGGAGTGCTTGGCACTGATATCCTCAAGTTTTTATTTCAGTAGCTGCTTCAAGGCTTGTTTCTGCACATCTATCTTTTGCACTTGTGGAAGCTGAGAAAATACCATGTACTAACCAAGCCAAGGGGCCTGAGAACAAGTTTGTCAGAAACAAATTTTAGAAGCAGCCTAAATTCCTTCTCCACCAGCTTAATACACTTTGTAAGCTGCGGAAAAAAATAAAACCCAATACAGATTGGCTGTAAGATGGCTTTTTATACCATCTCTTTTGACATGCTTTAATCAAAACATTATTTATATGGGTGCAGGGGGCTTCAAAACTGTGTCAGTACCTGTGTTGGAAGAAACAATCTGCAAAAATAAGCTGTCACTTGGAAGGGTAGAAATGAAGGAATGATAAAAGATGGAGACCAATCAGAAAGGAATAATTCAGCCCAACTGAGATAAAAAAAGAGTCAAAAGCACCACACTATGGGCAAGGAGATAAATGTCATATGAGATGTGCAAAGAGGGACAGAGTCTAAAGGCAGGTGAGAAATATTTCAGCTTTGCTTTGTGCTGCTCAGGGCTGTGGTGTGGTGTGGTGATGTCTGTACCTCACTGCCTGAAAAGTACTCAACCAGCTGTGGGAAGTCCAGGAGGAAGTAAAGAGAGATCTGAGAGTTCAAACAACCCTCAAGAAAGGAGGAAAGATCACTGAGGATGACAAAGGTGAGGAAGAGGATGCTTGAAGTGTGTAAAGGTTCAGAAGGGGGAGGGAGGGTATTTTTTCTTTGTGCCCAAAGGGCCACCACTGAGAAGGGATGGGCTTAAAATGAAAGGGCTTAAAAGGAAACATTGAGACTGACCATTAATAAAGGCTCTTACTGGAACAGATTATCTGTATGGTCTTTTCAGGCCAACAGTTCAAGGTTTTTAAGAATATACTGGATGATAACTGCTAAAATTGGATCCTGCTTTGAGTGGAGGATGGGCTAGAAAATGACTCGATGGCCCTCCCAGTCCTTATTTCTGTAATTTTCAAGGCTAAAGGAAACATGACATTATATGGGAAGGGTTATCAGCTGCTTGGACCAGGATGGTGCACAGGCATGGCCTGGCATTGTCCCATGAGTGATACAGAGATGACCTTGTAGAAGTGGCCCAGGTAAAGGTGCACAGCATCGTGCCAGTATGGATTGAGATGATAAAAACTAATTACTGCTCCCTTAGCTCTTTGTTGTCCAGGTTTTTGAGGTTAGTTTGTTTTTTTTTTCCCCCTGTAGGTCTTTTGGCAGACAAATGAGTCCTGTGGGGGATCCTGAGGTGTGTTTGCAGATGGACCTGTGGACCTTCTGCCATGTCTGAGGTAAAATACTGGGGAAAACCCTACAAAAATGCTGCTCTGAAATGCTGGCAAGGGGTGATTTAGGGCACCCCTGTAGGGATGTCACCAAGCAGAGTAACCCAAACTGAGTGCTGGCTGCTGGGGAGCAGCACGTTCTACTGAAATACATTTCAGTGCCAGGCATGCAGCACCATCTGAGGACAGGCTTTTGGTGGGAAGATGGAGACCATGGAAATTTTCTCATCTGCAGAGTCATGAAACAATCTCAGGCGTCTGAGGGCAACTGGCCAGCTCAGCAGGCTGTGTGAGCCTTTCCAAACACACGAGTGAAGTCAAGCTGTCCTAAACCCTTACTGCAAACCAGATGCACGGAGCTGAGTAGCCTGGTGCTGGACAATGCTTTCCTTGGGAACAGCTCCACTATCAGAGAACAATGATGTCTGTAACTCCAAAGCACTAAAATGGAATTTTTTTGGACACCGACCATTTTAACAAGAGCAATAAAGTTATGAAAACACCCAAGTTTTCGTGAGCTCCAAAGTCTCTAGTCTAGACCAAGAAAAGGGCTTTAAAAGCCAACTCTGCTTGATGTTGTGGACAGCTCTGGATGCAGTTCCAGAAAATGCTTGTGATCCAGTTTTAAGGAGAGTTACTGGAAAAATGGTCAAGCACTGGCCCCTTGGCCTTGTGCATGGTATGGCACGACGGGGGGCTCAGTGTGGAAGGGGTCCCTGACCCCCCCCCCCGGGTGTCCCTCACTGACGCAGGAGAAAGTTGTGTGAGGTCTCCACTCTTCTCTTATATAATCCATGACTTCAGATAAAATTAATGCCAAGTACCCAAAAAAGGGATTGTGTGTGTTCTCTTCCCGTAATCTGAACACAACGTTCGACTGTGACAGTTTTGCCAGTAAAAGAGACGTTTTTCCTTTGCCATGAGATCCAGATTTAAAATTAGCTGTGTCTCAGCAGAGCCATCAGCAGAGATCCCTGAGAGCCTCAGGGCTCGGTGTTGGAGGTTCAGGGCCGTAAAAGAGCCCAGCAGCCCAGTTTAAACAGTGACCAGCAAAGTTTGTTCAGGGAGGGCTCCCTGGGTGTTAACAACAGGAGCCTCCGTTAGCTCCTGCATCGAGAAAACCAGTCAAACTTTATAAAAATACTTCCTAAAGTAAATATTAGTGAGTCACAGATATTAAATATTAATAACTCATATGTTGGGAACAGAAATATTAGCAGGATCTGTAAGGGAGGTCTTTTTAATGTGCAATGTTACAGAATTGGGTGTGTGTTCCTCTCTCTCTGTCTTTTTTTTTTTTTTTTTTTTTTGGCCTTGTGTGTGCCAGCCTTTCCCATCTGAGACGCAGGTTTGCAGCTGCTCCGAGGTCTTGGGTCAGTGAAGTTGGTTGGTGTCCAGGTCCCACGAGGGGAGCAACTGGCCTGGAAGGGACCCAAGCAGGGAGGGTGTTGAGCAGCGCTCCCCATCCAAGGGTCAGCAGTAGTGGGGCACTCCTGGGGAACTGGAGGCTTTCACTCCATAATTGCAAATTACAGATAAATGAGGCTGTGTGGTTTTTTTTTTATTCAGTGCCAGCCTGACCTTTTGGAAAAAAAAAAAAAAATCAACCCCAAACCTACCACATTTCTACAAAGTATATGCAACCACCCAAACCCCCAAAGCACTTCTGTTGCATTAAGGAGCAAAGTGAAGTGAAAGCCACCCCTCGTTCTTCTAGTGAGGCAGTTTTAAGTAAAAGGTGGTTTTGTTGATCAAAATGGAAAAGAAAAAAAATTAAAAAAATATGCTGAGTTTTAAAAAGTGAAATTGCAGTTATTTCAGTAATTTCTTGTTTGAAAGCCTGGCTTCTTAAAACCTTGTTGGCACTGAAAAGCAGTAATGAAAAATTTTAATTAATTTTTTTTTTGTTTTGTTTTGTTTTGTTTTTTTTTTTTTAGTTTCCCATGGTGTATCACTGGCATTTGCTGGCTCATGGGGAGAGTGAGATGCTGTCTGGGCGAAGAGAGGAGCAATTTTTTATGTTGAAATTGAAATGGAGTGTCAACTGAAGAAAACTAAGAGGTTCCAGGCAGAACTGCAGCCCAGAACTGCAGGAGAAAGGCTTTTATTGAGGAATGGAGAAAAAAAAGGAGTGAAGAGCAAGGGGCATGGCAAGGACTCAGACTGGAGTCTAACACCTTATTCTTGTCAAAGCTGGGGGCAGTTTTGCCTTTCACTTCGAACAAAAGCCAGTCCCCAAAATCCAGAGGGGTGAGTGGAAGCCAGGATGTGAGGTAACCCTGATGCTTTGAACCCCCACAAACATTTTTTTTCTATTCCTCCCCAAAAGAAAAGTGTTTTTTTCTGCCAGTATGAGACTCAGTTTCATCATCAGTCCCTGATTTCACGACGCCGTGTCCTGGCTCTGCAGCCCCTCCTGCCAAGGCTGGTCCAGTGCAGCAGTGGGGAGCCTGCTGCCACTTAGGTGGTCCCAACTTGCTTCTTACTTCTAGTTCCTCAGCTTCTTTGCCAGTTTTGGAAGGACTCTGTGAGGGCTTTTAGCTCTGAGCAGTGGGTTCATTAATTAGCACACGTATTACCTTGAAGGTCTGCACCTCTCGACTGCAGCTTTTGGGTCCCATGTGACAGTGCAGGTGGAGGCTTCTCTCTGGGAACGGGGAATGGATGTTCCTCTTCACAGTGTGCTTTTTGACTATGGAATTGATCCAGTGCAAAGAGAGAAGGAACACTGTGGTTTTAGGGAAAATACTTCATGCTGAGCTTAGAGCTGTATTGGCACAGAGATGATGGCAAATACACACAGAGCCAGTTTTCTCTTTCCTCGTAGCCTGAGGGTCTCAGGGGTGTGGGACATAAGTCCATGCCTTTCAAACATGCTCCAGACAGTGTCTCATGTGATGCTGAAATTGTCCAAAATTGTTGAGGACATGTTTCTCCCTTCTCCTGCAAGCACATGGAAGAGTATCATTGTCAGCTCTGCCTTCTTTCAGGGAAACCATCTTCTGTGAGATAGCAGATCTTGATGATCTTCCAGCTAAATGCACACCAAGGAGAAAAGAAAAATATTAGAAGAGGAAGCACAAATGAATCACTGACTCATTTTTAATGAGTGTACTGAAAATTACTGTAGATTTCAACATCTGTTTTGACTGGGACAGGAAGGCAGCGTTGCAAAGGGTGCAAAAAGAAAGGCTCCAAAACCCCTGTCAGGGTCTCATTATGGAACCATAAAATGTGTCTGCTGGGGGTTTGCACTTGAAACATAGTTCTGCATAAAAGAAAGGCTCTTAGGAAGGCAGGAAAATGCAGATTTTCTGGAGTCTCGGTGAGCATGTCTTTACAGGACCAATGACTTCCATGAGGGAAGAAGCAGGGCAGGAGGTGGCATCTAACTATGCCTCTGCCTGTCCATGGCTGTGCTGCTCCAGCTGACAGTAAGACAAAGGTGTGGGTAATGCCTGCTGTGGGTGTTCGCAGGGCTGTGGTGGGGGGATGTAACACTGGCTCTCCAGTTTTCTGATTAAAGGTCGTGATGGTCCTCATGATTTGTTGGAGGATATTTCATGGCAAGAAAAAGAGGAGATCAGCTGCCACAGGAAGCCCAAAGATGTGAATCACAGCTGCCCAAGTCCTGCTCTGCAAACTGCACTGCTGATTCACGTACCCATGAGGCACCGCTTGGTAACAGCCACTTACTAAATTGAACCTATCCTGGTGCTCATTTCCTCATTCATTTTACTGAGATCTGCTTCAGGCTCCTTGTTAAAATGGCTGGGGAACGTTGGTGGGCTGATGTGGAGCAATGTGTGGGTGGTGTGTCATTTGGAATTCGGATGGAGTGTCTTGCACAGACCCCTCTGGGCACTGCAGTTCCTCTTGCTGGACAGAATCACCCCTTGTTCAGCCCCATTAGTCTGCTGGCAGGCAGGTGAGTCAGGGGGTGATGAGGTGATGCCACATTTTATGCTGCAACCTCATCCCGTGGTGCAACATGAGCATTTTTGTGTCTTAACTTGTTTTTTGGCAGGGGCAGGATTTACAGGGCAGGAAAGGCATTTACTGTCCCCAGTGCAGAATCAGGGTGCTGTGAGATGTGACCTGTGATGCACAGCGAAAGCAAGAAGGACATTTCCAAGGAAGTCTTGATTTCAAGGAACAGGATATGACTGTGATGGATCTATCTGATGGTTGGTTGCATCCTCACAGATATTCAGTCACTCTTCTGCCTCACATCAGCAGAGTGTTTTCCACGAATTCATCATTGTAACAGGGGTTAGAGTTTGTGCTTTAGGGGTATGGGTATAGTTTGCTTTGTATTGGGTAGGTAATAACATTTAAGAGGGAAAGAAAGGAACTTTCTATAAAAAGAGACCATGTTTTGATGAAATATGTATAAGAAAAGCAAAAAAGGTTCAAGAGAACAGGATAACTATTGCAGTTCTTGACTGGACCAGGAGCAGACTTGGAGATCATCATGATGTGCCATGGAAAATGGGCTGGGAGGTGAAATCAGCCACCAAGAAATGCCTGTCAGCAGGAGCCTGCATTGCTCTGGGTCACTCAGCTGTGGATTGTGGACAGGAGGGCTAGGAAGAAGAAAGGTTGCTTGTCTCCTTACTAATGAAGCCAATTATTCCCTTCCAGAAGTAGGGGAGGCAGATGTGAAACATCTTTCCAATAACGTCAAAGATGTTATTGCATTGTTTGTGGCCCTCTTTGGGTGATTCAGGATTTCCAGTGTTTGTGCCTCATCATAATAAAAGAAGGAGATGCTCACATCCCTGTCCACCCAGAGGAACCAGCCTGAACACCGACCTTTTAGAGCCAAAGAAATCAGATTCTTGTGCTGAGAGACAAGAAAAGGCAGCCACGTTTTGAAGCTTACTAGATTTTCCTTCATTGTGCTTTTACTCCTGTTGGATCCTTGTACAAAGCCTGACTCATGGCTTTGGGAAGGAGAGCAGTAAGTGTTGCCTGCTCAGAAAGCCAACTGCTTGCAATTCCCCCAAACCACCACGCTGGACTCTCGAGTTCCTTGTGTGGATGATTTCCAACTGAAAATTCCCATCTGTAGTCATCAAAGAATACAAACAACAAACAGTTCCATGTTGCACATTTCAGTCTACCAGTCTTGCACTCTCCTTCATTTTGTCCTTTTTGGCACAATGCCCACTTGCCTCAATCTATTTTTGGAATGGACATGAGATTTCCTGGCATGTCTCCAAAGAAACTTGTTCACTCAGGATACCCTTTTGATCACAGAACGAGTGACATAACTCTGTGTCGGTCTTTATGAATTATTTGCCCCAAGAAAGCAACTGGAATTTTGTCCATGGACAGCAGAGCTTGCAGTATTTCTTTGTACAGTGCAGAACAGCGATTCCCAGGTCATTTGGAGAACTTTGGTCCCTATTTTAGCAACACTGGTCTAAGGCAGGGCTGTTTTCTGATCAAAACTTTTTTGGTGGGAAAGTTGAACTTTGACATCTGAATTTTGTGGCATTTTAAGTTGGGAGTTGACTTTTTCTCTGGAAAAACTTAGTCCTCTCATGGGAAAATGAGAGCATGGCCAATCTAAATAGTAAAGAAAGTCACATATACCTTGAAACACTTCTGTGCTCGGGCAAGTGGGCAGTTACTCTGTGTTGCTCTTTTGCTTTACAGAAAACCCCTCCAACCTGCCCTGTGGGTGTGTCACCCTTCATTACATGGTGCTGACATTACCTGGTATGGATTTGGACAGCAGGAGAGACAGGTCATGAATTATGCCCTGAACATTGAGGTACTTCTGATTTTAGAAGCATGTCCTTACAGACACAGTTCCTCTGCCTTATGGCAGATCTTTTAATCTGTTTGGATATCTTGTATAATCTGTATAACTGGTCCCAGGTAACTGGGAAATAGAATTTGTAATCCTACTTCAACTTAGACAAAAGGATGAGAATCTTGAGGGAAGTTTCATCCCAGAAATTTCTTTTTCCCTGATGAAATTGAACTGATATTCTGCCTTGGGTTTGCAGCACTGGAGCACACAGCTCAGACTGTGTTCTTGCCTGCAAGTTATCCATGAGACTGAAACTGTACATGAGTTTTCCAGGGTGTGAATGGGACACTCAGCTTCTCAACAGCAAGCCCTCCCTCATCAGCAGTACCCAAGGGGATGCAAATTGGCACAACTTCACCGCTGCTGCTGCACCTGCTTCACATCCTGGCCGTGGGTGTTTGCAGCCTAAAAACCCCACACTGCCGATATTAACAGAGTGAGATGGGGAAAGCCAACCAAGCTCAACTCACCCCCAATCTCATCCCTGACCAAGGTTCAGAGCAGGACTTGGTGGGGCTTGCAGGGCTCAGCCGTGAATTACGACATTGCTGGCAGAGGTTTCCTGTTCCAGTTGGAAAAGCTGTCTGGATTCGGGCAGAGCTGCCCTCTCCCAGAGAATCACATGGGCCTGGAAACAGAAATAAACTTCACATGGCATTTCTGTTTGCTCCTCTGAGCTCTATGGTGTATCAAGAGGCTGGTGTCAGCAAATGCATCACTTTCCACTTACTGCAGTGTTATTTCTAGGCCCTTGCTTGGTTTACAAAGAACAGAAATCTGATCAAATGGTTGGATGAAGCACAGGATAAATCCAGCCGTTCTGCAGATGTGAAATGATAGAAAACCTTTTGGTTCTGTCCCTTTTTAAAACCAACCAGCTCTACTTCTTCAGCCTCTTGAGCACTGCCACAGCCTCCCCACCCCAGTGGAAGGAGCAAATAACCTCCCCACTCTTTCATAGTTGAAAACCCATCTGCAAGAGACTTGGTACACAGGTATATTTTTCGTAGTCTCTGGGCTCTCTGTGAGTAAAATGACATGAGTAAAGCAATTATGATGAGCATAATAGTTGCAAATAAAATGAGAAACAATGTTCAATATGAACAATTTAACAGGGAACTTGACTTAGCTGTTATCAATCTGTTTGCTAAGC